CCTTTTACAGGTTTGCCGATGTTTACACAAATATTGTTATCTATCACTATACTACAGTTTCCCATTATATCTGTCTGTATTTACATCTGCAGATCTGTCAATATTTCACAGATGGAGACTGGGACATGGCAGTCTCCTAGCAGTCTTTTCTCCCATCAAGAATCACTGCTCTCTCCCTGTCCTTATTGCTAACTGCTCTTCTCTGCCTTTGTCGGCCATATCCTTTCACAGCCTCATATCACTCACCCTGACCAGGAGTGATTGTAAACTGATGTTACAATTTGCCCTTTAAAAAACACACACACACACACACATTCATAAGAAGTGTTTAATCTCAAGCCTCTCTTTTATTCTTGACTGGGGTTTTTATTGTCCTTTTATTGTCCTTAATGTTCTTTTATGTTCTTTTAAATTATATGCTGAACCTCTTTATTTTTTATCTATTGTATTTTACAGTTTTAATATTTTTTGTAAACTACCCAGAGAGCTTTGGTTACTGGTGGTATAGAAATAAATAAATAAAGCAGCAAAACCTATTATGGAAAAATGTCAACTCAGAAAGCCTCTAGAACTGACTTTCTGGGAAAGTGGCTGTAGATATTTAAGGAGGGTGCTTTATTTCTGTGTGTGTTTACTCAGAAGTGGGACACAGCGAAAGCCACAGAGGCAGCTCAGCTCACCATCTCCCCCATTACGTGGCAGTCTGATCTTCTCACAAGTAAATCAGAGCCATTCTCAACAAAAACAGCTGTTCCCATTTGCACCAAAACTCGGCCTTTCTCCCTACCCTCACCCTGCAGGGCCGCTGCACGTTTGCAGTTAAGCAGCGAGACGCCCCAGGAGGGGAGCCAGCTCCTCCCATCGCTGCGGTGTACTCACAGGTAAATCAGAGCATGGAGATTCCTGACTCAGCTAAGTGAACTGACTTTTACCTCAATTGTCCCTGGAACCGAAAGAAACATAGGGAAGGAGAAATAGGCTTTTTTGAGTCTGCAAAGGGGGTGAGGTGGGAAGGTGCCAAGATAAAAGTGAATGTGTACATGCTCTTTTGCCTTCCTGGCCGACAGCAGGCAGGAGTAAATGTAGTGGTCCTTCTTGATGCTTCAGCCTTCCACAGGGGCCTTCTTCCTGAGCTGCTGCTTTTTGAGCATCTTCCCTTCCTCCTTCCTGGGTGTCATGAGCTAGGCATCCCTTCCCAAATGAGAGAAGCATTTCAGCAATTATTAAAAGAATCATTGTTCCATACAGCATCAATGTAGTCACAAGCTCTGAAACACGCACACCAGGTGGAAAGTTGGCCCCTTGCTCTGACCCTATTCCCCACAGCTCTGTTTATGAACCCTTCGGGGCCGGTTTCTGGAGCGGGACGTGCTATGAAAACTTTTCTTCCCTATCCCCCGTTCCTTGTGTGTTGTGTCTGTTTGGATTGTAAATGTGTGGCAGGTGACTGGGAGACCCTGGACTGAACTTTGGGTGCAAACTTTGACTTAAGGTGTTAATTATGAAACAGCTAACAATTAGTGTGAGTGCTGAAGTTTGTGCACAGTTCTGTGGAAAGCTCCAAAGTCTGATGCAAACAAATGATTTTAAAAGCTGGGCTGACCTTTAGAACAACAAGAATTCCGCAGGCCGGAACAACTAGCACCTCTAGAACAGAGGTGGACGCATGCTGTCAGCGCCATAGCAAAATGCTGATTGTGTGGGAGCAACCACAGTGGATGTGGTGATAGGGTCGTGAATGAGCAGTACCATCGGATGGGATCACAGTTGCAAATATTACCATATGTAATGTCCTGCCCCACTGTCCAACTCCTCACAAGCAGAAATCTAACACAAGGAGTGGGTAGTGAAATGTTCTCCCTGAACTGATGCATTTCTATGGCAGAGAGGGCTATCGCTTGTTAATATAAGGGGATTTTAACATAAGTGCTACCCCGCACCTATGGAGACTGCACCCTTCATTCTGATACATGGAAGAGCCAGATTTCAGATGGAGATGCAACTCCAGCATTTCCAAAAGACAAATGTCATATCTAGCCAAAAGAGTCTCATGAATGCACTATAGCTGCTGAATTTTTCATTAGATTCTGTATTTTGTGCTCTGAAACAAGATGAGGAGCCTATAGATTTCCTGTATAAAGCCCTATTTCAAAAAGTAAAGCAAGTATCCATTTTATATTGCATCTCTTTGGATGAAACTTCCACGGACTAATTGGTCCTGTAGCCTTTTAATGTTCATGTTCTTTATTTCCCCCCTTTTTTAAAACTGCAAATTGGCTGACATTTATCAATCCTATTTCCTCCCCATCCCTTCATATGGTCCTTTGAATCCCTGGTGTTGCTGTCCTGCATTTTTAAGGCCTCACAGATCAATCAAAAAGGCTAAATTTGCTGTCTTGAGGACTGGAGGCTGTTGCATATTATGCAACACTCTGGAGATGTCTATAAATAACTTGAAATTTGTAACAGTAGCCTTACTGCTCTGAAGAAGAGGATGAAGGTCTCTTGACGATTCATTCAGCTGGAAATCCAACTGTGAAGGCTGAGGAAAAAGGTGCCAATACACTGGGGCTGCGGAAGCACCAAACCCATCTTTCTGCCCCATTAAGCTCATTGCACAACGTCCAAATCACTTGATTGGAAAAGCTTCTTAGCTCAGTTGCTGTATTCATTGCAACATTAAAGTAATTACGTGTTTCACTACATAAGTAGTCTTCTAGGGCTTGGTGGGAGTTTAACTACTCTGCTATTCAGACTTCCGATGCTTGGTACAGTGTGGGGTACTTAATGTATAATTGCATTTATAAAATTGGTCTGTTATATGCATGGAAGTGGAAAAAAGAGGCTTTCACATGAAATCACCCACTCTGGCCCCCATCAGTAAGTTTAAGTTTCCCTGAAATGGGTTCGCCTGCGAAATGGGTTCTCCCTTTTCTTAAAACTGTTTCCTGTGAGGTTCTACTTCTTATAGCAGGGGTCCTCAAACTTTTCCAAAAGGGGGCCAGTGGAAAGGGTGCCAGCGGTGGGCGTGGGCTGCCAAGGTGGTGCTGGCAGGGGGGTGTGGGCCGTGGCGCACGCATGCACAGCAAGGCAAGGGCAGGGGGCACGTGGGGCAAGGCGCTGGCTTGCTCATGAGGAGATCATTTCTCCGAGTGAATCCAAACTGTTCTCCCTGGAAGCAAGCCACATGCCCGCACAGTGAGTGCAAAACCTCTGGGGCGGGCTGGTTAAATGGGCCTGGAGGGCCAGATCCGGCCTGTGGGCCATAGTTTGAGGAACCATGTCATATAGAATCTGATATTCTGCTAGAAAAAAGTTCCACAGTTTTATGGATCAAGGAATAGAACCCATGATTAGTAGTGGGCCACATTCAAAGCTGCCCGTGTGTGAGCAGGAGTTCTGGCTAGTACAATGGGGAACAACCAATTCCTCAAGCAACTGGAAACACTTTGTCCCAGAATGGCGCTAGTCACTGGAGCCTGCAGAATGACACTCTGCTGATCAGTCCCATTCTATTCATTTCCAGGGCGCCTTTCAGAAGTATTTGCATTTAAATTACAGTTAGGAGTTCTAATTTTGCACCTATGCAAAAACTCCATATGGAAATGTTATGCAAATTAATGTCATCTTTTATCCTTTTTTTAAAGGAGTGATGTAATTTCTCCTTTTTAGCTGTCTTGCCCAATAGATTCCCAGATACGTTTCTTTCTTGGATTCTTCTCTCTCCCTAATATGTAAATATTTGTATATGAATTGAGTATTCTTATCCCTGCTAATGTTTGTATGTACCAAACTAGGTATTGTAGTTATTTTTGATTTTAAATTATACATAGAATTTAATACAGTCTTGATATTAAATTCTGTTTTGCCATTTGCAAATGGTGCTTGTGTAAATGCACAGAGCTTTAAAATAACACTAATTCTTGAATATTCTAATGGCACAATCCTTCAATATTTACTTGAATTCAAGTCCCACTTATTCATTAAGCCTTACTCATAGGAAGGTTTGCAGGTTTGCATCTTAAATATTTCTAATATATTATCATGTATAAATGATAATATATAATTATATATATATAAATGATATAATAATATATATTATATAAAATTATAATATTTATATTAGAGTATCATGCATAAATGATAATATATAGTTTAGAAATATTTACATTGCCTAATTATGTATTTTCCAATATGGTGGTATTCACATTTGTGAACCTTCAACCAAGTTTAATACTTTAAGAATTCTCTCGCAAATGTCTTTTTAAGTTCATGCATTTTCCCTTAACAAGCAATTGTCTGTATTTTATTCTGGTTTTCTTAATCTGTCTCCTGTGGGGCTCTCTTTCTTATGAGATCTTGTTCCAGACTGGGAGCAATTTTGCTGTTTTGTATCCAAGAGCCAGAAAGAACCCTGTGAGAATAAACCCTTGTAGAGCAAATGATCAGACTTAGTACTTTCTCCAGCTGCAATCTGACAGATGTTGCAAGTGCAGCTTTTATAATTCAATGAACTTTTTTTTTTTTAAAGAACATTGTGGATGGGAAATGCCCTTTTTTCTTTCAGGGCTTTTTTTTGGCGGGGGGGGGGGATGCTTCTTTTCCATTGGGACAACTAAAATATAAACCTCTGCATAGCAAGAAAGGGTTTTTTCTCATGACCCCTTTGGTGCATATAATACACTAGAGAAGGATGAATGTCAATTTCAGTTTCTCTTATTTTCTCTTTTCTACACTGTAAGACAGCTCACACATTTGACCATGTACCAAACATGGAAAGAAAATGTATATTAATTCTTTAAAACTGATTAAATAAGCTTTTAAAAACATTATGATGGAGAATCAGAAATTTAAGGGATCAAGCTGCTGCATATTTAGATTGAGTGATGTCTTTGCAGCGGGTTAGTTTAAATAGCCCATTACAACTATATTTGGCTCAAGAGTAAGAGGCTTCTCTCACATAATTACTAATATACCTTTATTATTTCTGATATTTGCAGGTAATGGAAATCAAAGGACAAATGATTCATGTCCCAGAATCCAACTCCATTTTGTTTTTGGGCTCCCCCTGTGTGGACAAGCTTGATGAACTGATGGGTCGAGGCCTTCACCTTTCAGATATACCAATTCACGATGCTACCCGTGATGTCATCCTTGTTGGGGAGCAGGCCAAGGCCCAGGATGGCTTGAAGAAACGGATGGACAAGCTCAAGGCAACATTAGAACGAACACATCAAGCTTTGGAAGAGGAGAAGAAGAAGACGGTAGATCTCCTCATTTCTATCTTCCCAGAAGAGGTGGCTCAGCAGCTCTGGCAAGGGCAGCAAGTTCAGGCCAGGAAGTTTGACGACGTCACCATGCTCTTCTCAGACATCGTGGGCTTCACGGCTGTCTGCGCACAGTGTACTCCCATGCAGGTGATCAGCATGCTCAACGAACTCTATACACGATTTGACCATCAGTGTGGATTCCTAGATATTTATAAGGTAAGACACTTCAGCTGTTCTTGGTCTTGTCCCAAGTTGTGTGGCGTTTCCCAGCTTGGCACCTGCTAGTCCAACTGCCGCCCTATGGTGCTGTTGCCTAGGCCGGCTAGGGCTGATGGAAGCTTTAGGCCACAACAACTGGAGGTCCTAAATTGCCCACTTTTTTTGCAGACATTAGCATAATACAAATATCCTTTTCTTAGCGAAGGGAAAAGGTTGGTCTAGATGATGGTTGTGTACATGGCGGTGGCCAAAGACGTGACCTTGCAAGCAAATCAATACAGATTTGGACATGGTGAGATAAACACTGGGATTACTGCTCTACAAAGATTTGGTTTGCACATGCAGCAGGAGAAGGTGGCCAAGCAGATGTTCAAGTCGAGGTGCAGAGGGGGCACAAACTTTGAATTGCTCTTGTAAAAACAAAAAGTGAAAGTAGGAAAAGCTCTTTGCTAATATAAAACCCAGTGCACAGGAAGTGGACTGAGCTCAAATCATCCTTTTGATTTGCTAGGTATTTTACTTATGGGGATCTTTACACAGGGGAACTTCCGTGGTGGCATCGTGAACTTGCTGGCTGATGTGTATTTTTCCTCCTCAGAAGATCTCTACCTCACTTTCCTGCCTGTGTAGTCAGATCCTCAGTTTTAAAGTTGAAGTATGAGGTCAAGATGAGTTTTTTTCTGCCTTATTGATAACATGACAACTGTATATTGCAAGAATTCTGAGTGATAAGTTATTCTAAGTAAATCTGGAGTGTAACAGTAGTCTTTACCTGCTGCCAGTTCTAAGAACCTAGGTAAACAGACAGGTATGCTGAAAGTTAAACTAAAGCAAGGATTTTATTAGAGTGGCACTAGAGAAACCCATGCACATGTGACAGCATGCAAGAGAGCAGGTTGCAATAAACTGTCCCCATTGGACAGCCTGCCAAACATGTATACATGTCACAAAGCATAAGAGAAAAGCATAACTAAGCACATAGTAATTCTCCAAGTTACTCACTCAACATTGTTTTCATAAGCAAATCTTGCCATAAACAGTATTATTATACAGTAAAAGAAAAATTTTAGTTCTCTCAAAAGCAAAGCTTCCTCTCTCTGTCTCTGCTTCTTCCAAACTGTTACAAAGTTGGCCCCATCTTGACCCAAACTTTTCCTCACACTTATTCCTAACACAGTGTGAGACCTCCTTCAAGCTCTGCATTACACTGGCCTTGGGCTGATCTGTAACAGCCATTGACTGGGGTCCAGGGGGAATTAAGAATGAAAGTGAGGTTGTGCTTGAGGTACTGGTTATGTCCATACAAGGAGAAAGTGTGTGACTTCATTGTTCTTGCATGGAAGGAAGCCCCATATCAGCCAATGGGAGAAATTAATATTATTTTATGTGCTTCCTTTGAGAAGAAATAGGAAGTCAAGGGCACCATCAGAATCAGTGGTGCTCCAAATGTTGACTAGAACTTGTGGGAATGGCAAGTCAAAACATCAAGAAGCCCACAAATTGTCTTTGGTGGAAAGAGCCATGGAAACTTGCAACCTTTTGCTAACAGTGTGTTTATTCAACTTACTCATTGAGAATGTATTGACAGAGTGTTGAAACAATCACACCTGCAGTACTAATCCCACAGCTATGTCAGCTCACCTTTCTTGAAATCTGGCTGGTTCTCAGGTCAGAAGAAATCCAACCTCCTTCTCTTTACTCCCTCCAGAAACCCTTCTTCAAAATGCTCTGTCAGATCCAGCAGATGTTTTTCAGCCCCCCCGTCTTCCCAAGTGATTGTTATTTCCAATTCTTGACAGCCTGGTGCAAAGAAATTCTTGCTGCAGATAATTGTCCATCAATCACCTTCCATTGATCCTATCAAGTTTTAGCATGTTAAAGTTCCAGCAAGCTTAAGAAGGCAAGGATGCTCCTCCAAGTTTGCATGACAGAAAAACATTATCCTAAATTAACAGAAAATGAGTATTTTTTTCTCTTAGGATATCATAACTTTAAAAAAATTTACAATGCCTTCTAAATACTCAGTCCATCACAGCCAGAAAGCAAGTGGATGATTGTGTTTTCCGAGGAGGATTCTCGGTGCTCTTAGGAGATAAGCACTTCTGGCCTTAAAGGGCCACAATTTGGACACCACATCAAAAATAAATCACAAGCCATTCTTTTCATTCCTACTCAGCACTGAAGCTTAATTGCATTCTGTTACATCCTTGCCGTATGGTGCTTTTGATTTCCCACAGCTGTAGTTGAGCCTCACTAATCCATATTCATGCAAGGAACTTCTTGAGCAGAGAAACAAGGTTTATAGTTGAATGACTGTGAACAGAGCATGCCATCAGCATTTCTCTCTCCAATATGGATTAAGGCATTTATCAATAGTGACCTAGGAGGGTAAAATTGTGGCGAAGACCTTGCTTATCAAGACCCATCACTCTCTGCAGCCTCACTTTCAAAATTGCGTTGTCCTTGTTCAAACTGCATTGCTTCCTCCTTTATGCTGTGCTTTGTTTTTCAGCCTTGAGCAAGGCAATCCTTTAAGTTAGCCACCTAGTCTGAAGTTCACATTAAGATCAGTGAAAGCTCTGACGCACAGGAGGATCGATCTCATGAACTTGCCCAGTGACTCTTCCAGCAGTACAGATGAGAGGACAGTGAGCTAGGAATGCTAGATGGGGAGAAATACTACAGAAGCAGACATCTGCCTGACTTTTCACTTGTCAACATCCATTCCTTGCTAAGCTTCATAGCTGGATCAACATAATGGCCACTGCTAAAGAAATGGTAGCACAGGGTAAAAAGTTGCACTCAGGTAGAAAGTGGCTGGGATAAACAGCAAGCAAGCACAGAAATCTGCGGCTTGGGCCAGGGTAGGTGCTACCATTAGGCAGAGTGAGACAGCGACACAGGGGTCATGCAAAGTGGGGAGACCGGTGGCATCTACGTTTGTGAGGCCCCTTAGCTCTTGCAGCTTTTCTTTTAATCTATGAGTGAGTCACTGGATAATTGAAGAGGCTAGATAGCTCCAGCCTCTTATGAAGAGTTGGCAGATAATTATTTTGGGACTGATCCTAATCTCGGAAGGTAAGGGTTAGGCATCAGACCTGATTAGTATTTGGATAGGAAATCTGAGTCCTGTATTGAGCAGAAGATTGGACCCGATAGCCTACTAGGCCCCTTCCAACTGTATGGTTTTATGATTCTATGCGTTTTTAGGTTTTTTATGTTGTATGTATTTTTTATTAAAATCTTTCTACTTCAAAATAACTACAACCGAATGTGAAAGTCTGCAACAAACTTCTTGCATCTTTAGGCAGAGCAATTCCTGTAACTCCTAGCATTGCCAAGAAACATGTGATGCATACCATTTCAATCTTAACTTATGAATATTGTACTTTTTACTATGAGGGGAGTAGGAGAGGTACTTATGTTTTGTTTGTCTCAGTTGACAAAGCTAAAACAAAACCTTGCTGGCCTTGGATCTTGAATCAGGCCCTGGTCTGAGTTTGCATTTCTTCATGCTGCATGTCAAACCAGTTGGAAAAGGGAGAGGTTTCAAAATAGTTCATGATACAAGGTGGAAGCATCTTCCCTTTGGATCCCAGTGATGGACCCTTGTTCGCAGTGCTTTTATTTGCAGATACTTATTCAGAACTTGCACAGTACATTAAAATTGTACTCTATCCTTCCTCTAAAGAGCTCAAGTCAGCCTATGTGGTGCTTTGGTTGGCCTGGAGTGGCCCATCCTGACTCCATTTTACTCAGGTCCAGGAGACAGAAATCTTCCTTTTGCAAGCAGCTACAGGTCTCTGCTTGAGAGAGAGGCCAAGTCAGTTGCCCCCTGTGTTCCAGTTCAGCTGACATTTGTATGTCAAGCAGTGCCACTCAGCCAGCTTAATCAAACTGTCTGGGTGCCTACACAATGAGGAACGTCCTAGAATCAATCTCAGAGCTGGGGATGAGCCATTGCCAAACTGAATGCAGACAAATCAGAAGAAATTCTTAATTCTCCACCCAAACAAGTGGAGAAGGACCAGAGCAGATATACGCCATTGCAAAGGAAACTGAGGTCTTTTTCTTTCAGCGCAGGTAGGTATTGCACCAAGCGTTCTTCGACACAGGTGGCCAAATATAGTGTTCCTCAAACAAAAGTGGTAAGACCTCACACAGGCACCAGGAGAACTTTACTATGGACACAGAGGGCCTTCAAGGAACCAGCTGGACAGCTAATCTCTCTCACACACAGTCTTTCCTCATTGTGTTTGTCATTGGAATGATTTTCTTGTTGTGTGATCAGAACTGACCAGTCTTTCCCCATTTTATAAAATTTCCCTGAATCCTTAATACATCTTCTACCCCAGTTTCACCAGAGTGTGTACTTTTGGGGTGAAAGTGAGGAGGCTCACAAGGGGCATGCCATTTTGGGTTCCCCTATGCTATTTCAACACCAAGGTTGCATTTCAAGGGAAGCAAGTAAAACATGTAACTTGTGCCCTGCAAGGATGCAAAGGGGCTGCTGGGAAGCCCCACACAAGGGACCAGAGTTGGACAGTTATTTGCAGGGGACTGAAAGTGCATGAAACTGGAGGAGACTGTTTTACTCTCAGTGGTAGCATCTGGTACCAGTTGGCCCTGCTGCACCAGACTTCACATCCTCAGACAGGGTTACATGCAAATGCCGGGTCCTCCACCCATGGCTCTTCCTTGCTCTTTGGCCTAACAATAAACCTGTGAGGTAGGGTAGACCGTTGATGCAATATGGGCAGACGAATGGGAAGCTCTTGTCAGAGCCTTTCCAGCCACAATGTTGTAGGCCAACATTTCTGGACATTTCAAGGGCTGCCTTAAATAAAACACAGAACAATCCTTTCATCTAACTGACAAGTGCATGAATGATGGAGAACAGAGATGCTTCCAGATGGAGGACTCCAAGTGATGCCAGTTATATTCTTCAGCTGTTCCCTATTTCCCTTTTTAGCGCATTTTCCATGGCAAGAACAAAG